GTGAGGAGATGAAAAATGATTATTTTGTGAATGCAATGCAACTGGTGATCCGATTCAGACCTAGCTAGACAATTTAGTTCTCACTGGAGCCCACACCACGCTATCATCTTCTTTAGAAGGGATAGATATATGGGGAAACTTTAGTCACCTTAACCTCAGCCTGCCTCCTACTTCTGCTGTTGGAACTTCAACTGGTCTCCCCTTTTGCTGGGATAAAAAGAAAACTCTTCGCCACCACTTTGCCACAGTTCCAGGGAATTAAGCCACTCATCTTTTCGCATCCCCACAAGCCATTTCCACTGGGTAAACTTTGCCCACCCTTTTCTTTTTGATCACAAGACTTGTCTGAATGAGAGCTGGAAATTTGTTGCAAGTCAAACTAGACCATCCTTGACCTAGAAAGAGCAAGGTTCTGACCCACCATAGGGAAGGTTCATAAGCTCTCCTTACGCTCTCCTACTTTATGGAATGAGCAGGCAACATTTTTGCTTAGGAGCTGTAGGTGCTAACTACAGAAGTGAGAAACAAGAAACAAAGCCTTGTCAATTTCATCCCCCTCCCCCATCACACACAATCAATTTCACTTCCCCTCCCCACCAATATCTGCAATGTGTAGGATACTGTATATATACATGCACATGATTTTCTTCTTCACTTTCCTGTCCACTACAGTTTCACAACAAAAACCATGTAAATAAGCAAGACAGGGAGAGATGGAAGCTCATCGTATTTTGAAAAATCAAAACCATCATGTCATCCCTGTAAGGAAGGTTAGGTTGACATGAGGTGATGCTGGGCTAGCTTCGTGGGTAAGCAGGAATTTGCATCCATATCTAAACTGATATCTATTCAGTGTACCACACCAGTCTTCACACATTAACGGTAGTAGTTCATGGTAACAATTTATTTTGTTCAGGCCTATCTAATCACTCAAAATTAATTTAAGGGGCCCAGTGATAGCTATCTGAAAGATCAGATCCTAACCTTGAGTCTTCTGTTCCAAGCTGAACATTTTCATTGTTTGAGCTAGAAATTATTTCTCTTGGCATTTGCAAGTGTTTGAATCCAACTGCTTTAAAAACTCACTAGAGAGGATCAGGGCACATTTATACCAACTATTGTGCAAATGGTTTGTACTTCTATGTCCCACGGATGACTTACACAATTCATTCTTCCTCTCATGTCTTTTCTCAATTAATGTTCCGTGTCCAGATTTTCAACAGATACTTAATCTTAGCATGACACTTCTTATGCTTGTTTGTTTGTGTAGGTGTTCTATAACATTACTAATCTGGGCCATTACACAGCCACTTCTTTCACTACTTAAGATTATTTCCACAATTTTCCTTTTCTTAAAATAAGACTACGTGCATTTCCACCTAGCCAACTCTCCAGGAAGCATCAGTTGCTCCCCACTATTATATAATTCATTCTGCTTTGTTTGTTAACTTTTTTGATGTTGCATGGCCTCCGTAAATTCTGAATCAATCACATACGAACAGTGAAAAGCTATCACTTCACGGGTACTGGGATGCAACAATATGGTGCATTGTGTAGAAAACAGAGGACAGGGAGGCATTTTCCTCCTTCATTCTTCATACTGGAATGCTGAGATAATCCTGTGAAACTGATTGATGGGAGAATCAGGACAGATAAAAAGAAGTACTTCTTCATCCAACATGAAATTAAGTCAGGGAATTTATTTCCACAAGATGTAGAGCTGGCCACCAATTCAGAGGGCTCCAGAAGGGGACTGGATGAATTCTTAGAAGATACGAATACTGTCGGCTGCTAGTCCTGGTGGCTATGTGCTACTTCCAGTATCAGTGGGCTCCTATATACCTGTGTATACCGGGGGGGAACATGACCAGCAGCAGGCTTTTGCACTCATGTCCTATTGTGGGTCACCATCCTCTAGATAAAAAGCCCAGCCCTTTTTGGATGTTATTTATTCATTTAAACAACTTATATGCTGCCCCCTTCGCATAAGCCTCGGGGAGGCTTCCAATCACAATCTCTGTCTTTCTCCCACTTTCAGCTCAGATTCAAGAAAAGCAGGATGGAGAATGTTCTCACCATAGATCCAAAGAAAACACTATTAGTAAACCGTTCTGAGCGAACTATGCTAATTGAATTATATAGAAATGCTTTGCATATAAAATAAAATAGAGAAGGAGGGGTATGATTTGATGAATTTCATGAACTATACAAAGCAAAATAGCCTTGCCATTAAGTGGAAACTGAAGAAGGAGTTGCAGCCAGAGCTGTCTCATGCCTGTGCTGTAGGATATCAGTGTTTGAAATTTTAAAGTTGATTTTAGTTGATTGATAAGGCATTCATGCCTCTCTCAGACCTTCCTCCTTTTTGTCCTACCTAGCAAAAAGGTTCTCCTTTTCAAAATCAATAAGCACTGGATTCCCTGATACGCTACATTCAGTCATAGCAAAATGTTATTTTAACCCATTAAGGGTGCAGTGCTGTGCATGCATGTCCCACAGCACCTCGCATTACCAGCCAGCATGCTGGTGGGGGAGTGCTGGAAGTTAGAGCTTTTCTGTCTAAACATGCACAGAATTGCAGCCCGATATGTTTACCTGGCTTTATGCCTCATTGACTTCAGTAGATATGACTTTTAACCTGCACACATGAATGTCCTTGAAATGTATTAAATTGATCAGCCTCCACAAGATGAAGCTGCTTCTTCTTATTGTTGCTGTTATTGTTGCTGTGATGATTTTATCTATTAATTCTGCTCAGATTTTTTTTCTTAGAGCAATGAAGTTTGCCATGAAGGCCCAGATAGTATTTGCCTTGTTTTTTCCTCAGAGCAATGCTGACATTTACAATCCTTGGACAGAAAGTACAATCAGAGAGGGCTTTTTTGGTCAAATTTAAACTTTTCCCTTTTGTTACTTTATCCAGAAGGCTGAGGAGCTTAATAGAAGGATTAAGATTTCCACCGCGCTTTTATAAATACATTGACTTCAGTGTAAATCAGGGACTTCATTTGATTATGCGTAAGAATGATTCTTTAATCCCATGCACACTAATTCAGGAGTCTAACCCACTATGCCTAACAATAAATGCACATGTGCAGTGGGCCGCAGCTGACAGATTGCTCAAGGGAGTTGGGCAGTTTAAATGGGGTGCCATCAGCCACTCATATCGAGTCAAGCAACTATTGAATCATTCGGTCCATGTGTTCTCCTGAAGGCCATGCAGAGGTCCCAGACTTGGTCCATCTTGCACTGGTCCTAGAAGCTAACAGCAGCAAATACAGCACTGGCATTCCTCTCTCAAGATACAGGGCAAGAGGTGAAAGAAACACACACACACACAAAGAACAAGCATTTTACCCACTCACATTACACAACCACAGCAACTTCTCCTGCTGCTTGTCTCCAGCCCTGTTCATGTCCTACTTCACTCCGTCCATCTACCTCCATGGATATTGAACCCAGTCGCTGCCCATGTGCTCCTTTTGATATCACTGCCCTCGCCCTCTCCCCCAAAGTGCCCTTGGCCCATGCAACATTCAGTCTGTTGCACTTCCTCCATCAACAGCCAATTCCTTTAATGTCATGCAAGCCCTTCACACATCACCCAGGTGGAGAAAGGCTCTCACAGGATGGAGAGGGAGGACACTCCATCACTGGCAGCATAAAGAAAATATAAACCATCCATCTCTTTGGTTCCATTCATGATCATTTCCACAGCTGGAATCATGTGGGAGGCTGAAGCATGGAAGGTAGAAGAGACTCCACAGAAGTGAGTCCTGAGCACCATGAGGTGCCCAGGGGTGAGTGGCTCGCTCTTCTACACCCCCCACCTCCCTCTCTGCATCCTTCCTCACAACATCTCTTTGCTGTCATGTATTCTGCTCTTATTTATTTATTTATTTAGAAAATTTCTATGCCGCCCCATTTGCCGAAGCCTCGGGGCGGCTCACAAAACATCAATTAAAATATAATACACTAAAAATATAAAACGAATGAACAATGTAAAATAAGTTGCCCTGGCCAAAGAATAAAATAAGCAAATAATATTAGCAATTAAAATTAGCAATTATTCTCATCTGGGAGGAGAGATGACAGGCGTAATTCAGGAGTTGAACTCAAATGTAACCCTGCGCTGTATAACAAACCTCCCCCCACCACCCCAACCTCCTTTTCCATGGACCTCTCCACATCTGGAGCTCAGGCAGGCACCGGCCCTGTGTTATTTCCAGCTCCCTCTGCCACATCTTTATTTCAGTAAGCCTTGCTTGATCGGTATTCTGTTTTTGTGCATATCCTGCGTTTAATATTGTGTTTTAATATTGTCTTTACCTCTTGCTTCTCTATTGTTGTCCACCACTCTGGAATCTGTATAGATGTGTAACACATAGAACAGAGACTTAACAAATTCATGGAGAAGAGAGCCAACCATGGCTACAAGTCCTGATGGACCTACACTACCTCCAGGATCAGAGGTGGTGTGCTAGTGTGCACCAGCTGCTGGAGAACATGGGCAGGAAGTTGCTCTCGCTTTCCTGTTCGGCTTTGGGTATCCTGTGGCCAACTAGTTGGCCACTGTGAGAACGAAAGAGAATCTGGCTGAACTGGATGGACCTTTCTATCTTCTTCAGCGTTGTTCTCTTTATGTTCTTAAATGTTGTAAATAAATAAATCTGGCACACACACCTCCCAGATGTGTTGGACTACAATAGATGGATGATGGAGGTTGCAGTCCAACACATCTGGGAGTTGCTAGGCTGTGGGAAGGCTGCTATAGACTGCTAGTGAAAGGAGGGTCTATGGCAGGCATGCTTTTTATTCTCTCCAAGATAAACCTCCCGTCCTTTGCTTCACTCTTGCTATTAACCCCTTTGCTGCTTCCTCCAGTGTATCTACACCCCATTTCTCCAGCCTCCCCCCTTTCCCCAAACGGTGTTGGATCCGACACGTCCCCTTCCCTTCCCCTCCCCACTCTCCCTAACGGCTCCACACCCGAGCCTTACCCGCGTCTTCCTCGTCGAAGCTGTTCATGCAAGGGAAGTAAATGGCCAGGGCCTCGAAGGAGGCGGACAGGCTGAGGCGACTCTGCGAACGCTCCATGAAAAGTCCGGAGCCGGGGGCGCCGCTGCCGGGGGCTTCGGCCGCAGCCTGCGGCTTGGCCAGCTTCGACGCCCCATTCTTCACTCGGAGCACAGCCCGCGGCGTCTTGGCTGCTGTGTGGGGGCCTCAGGGAGGCGAGAGATGGGATGAAAGAGGTAGAAATGCGCCGTGAGGAACGGGGGTCAGCGGAACAGGAAAATAATGGGCTTGGACCCGCACCCTGCAGAGAGGAGTGAGGGAGAAAAGAGGTGATGCTGAGAAGGGAAAGAGCGCAGGAGATGCTGGTGGTATCCAAGGGAGAAAGGCTGCTGCTGGTACCCAATCGAGAAAGGATTCTATGAGAAGGGATGCTGTCAGGAGACCTGCTTCTTCCAGCTGCTGCTGCTGCTGTTGTTTGGGAAGCGACAGAAGGGTACTGCAGCTGCTATCACCCTGCGGGAAGGATACACGCTGGTGCTGCCCCCGATGCAGATGTTGGGATGGATGCCGCCGCCTCTGCAGCTCCAGGTAGCCTGGGCGCTTCCGCTGCTCCAAGCGAGAGAACCACTTGCTGCTGCTCGCCCGTTCTCCCCGGACGCCCTTGGCTCCCTGGCCACGGAGCCGCGCCTGGCTCGGCTCGCTCTAGTCCCCCGCCACCGGGCTGCACTCCTTGCGGCTGCTCCTCTCTCAATGGTCCTTCATTCAGCCCAGAGCCGAGGGCGGGGGCTGCCGTGAAGTCATTCTTGGAGGGCCGCGCAGCCAATCAAGAGCCGGGTGGTGAAATGAGGTGGGGGAGAGAGGGGAGGGGAAGACCTGCTCTAAAAGGGGCCGAGCTGCTAAGCAGGGCTGGCGGCGGTGGCGGAGAGAAAAGCGAGGGAGCATGCGCTTTCTCTCCCTTTGGGAGCTGTCAACCCATCGCTACAAACTCCCAAGGTTTGTCTCCAGAACATAGCACAGGGGGTGTTAAAATAAAAGGCCCTGAAATTCTGTTGCCAGGTGTACAGGATGTCTGCAGAAAAGTAAACCTCTGTACATGTTAAGGGCAGAGTCTGCAGTTCAAGAGCGCACACCTGCTTTGCACAAAGTTTAATATTTCAGTCTCTGGCCTCTCCAGGCAGGGCTGGAAAAACTCCTGCTTGAAACCTTGGAAAGCTGCTGCCAGTTAGTGGTGACAAGACCGGGTCAGGTGGACCAACAGTAATGATTTAGAAACTAAGCAATATGCAAATACCAACTCAAGCTACTTACTGCTTGGTGGGGAAGAACAATAACATCATTATTTAAAATGTGGTTTTGATTTTATGCAAAGTATAACTCAGATGATTTGCTGGCACATAACAATAAGGATCATCTCCAACTTACGAGGGTGACCCTATGAATGAAAGCCTTCCGAAATCTGTCCATGACAGCTCCATTCAGCTCCTATGCTTGAGTATTTTCCTTATTCTTCTTCCTTAAATGATTTCCAAATACAACCATATTCAGTTAATGATTGAGACCGCAGCACCCATAAAGACTTGTATAACATTTACGATAAAAGATTCTTTACATTTATTTGCTATCAGAGCAGCTTAATCCTACGTCTGCACAACCGTTGCAAGATAAAATGCATAATGTTCTTTTTAAAAAGTTAGGTCGTTGCCGCTTTCTTACTCTGTGTGTTTTCACAAATTTAAACATATTGTTTGAGAGGTGACCAACCAACTGCACAGTACATATATCCATGTCTTGCATCATCAGAAGCATACACTCAAACAGTGGCTGGGAGAAGGAAGAGGAGAGCAGACTTGATATAATAAAATATGAGAACCACGCAATTAACTCTTGTTTAGTATGGCAATGAAGTAGTAGAATCATGGCAACCTTCCCAAAAATACATATAGTTGTTTTTTTAGTCAATAGATGAATCCCCTTGCAGGATTGCCAGCCTCTTCATTCCTAGATCAAGCCAGTTTCACTGGGTTTTTGGCATCTTGGTAAGCACTGAGGGGCCAGGGTTTCCCATGCCATGATAAACAGCAGGCTACGTTTTCGAACATATCCTGAAGGCCACTTTCCTGCTCTTGTTTCTTCTCAAAACTCCTCCAGAAAGGTTGGCTGCAGCCCAAAAACCCCAGCTGTCCTCAAAAGATGAGCACTGCTCACCCAGGAAACTCAGAAGTGGTGTGGGCACAGTTGCATCATATGCTTCCATTTGCGTGGAGGGATCTCTATCTAAAAAGTCTTTGTGACTCAAATCTGATATTGAAAAATAAGACACAGCCCCATCCTTCAGTTGTTTATTCAAAGCAGCCTGCAGGACTCCTTGGTCTCAAAAGCAATGAGGTCATCAGGCCTTTACTTGCATCATTCCCCTCTGTAAGCAGTTGTTGACAAGGCTTAGCACCAGGGCACGGATGGCAGGACACAAAGTTTGGGCCCCAGGACTTGGCAACAGAACTTCATGCAAGACAGAATCCAAAGTGAAAAGCAAAAGCCATGCCCAAGTCATAGTCAGAGCCAGAATCCAGAAATACATGAGGGCAGAATAAGGATATGGTCATGAACAAGCCAACAATCAAGAAGAGGAAGAGGAAGAGAGGTGCAAGGACCTTCAGGCAGGATACCTGGGCAGGATGCACAGCAAGGGTCAGGCAAGATGCAGGAGCTGAACCACCACTAGCAGGCAAACCAGAAAGAAGGGAGAAATACTTGGTTCTGCAAATGCAATTTTAATTCATTTATTTAACAACTTTTTGCAAATCACATTTTTAAAATATCTAAGTGATTATGTAACAATACTTAAACCATAACACAACACTGTACACATAGCTGAATGAAAAGGGGTACATACTGAAACAGGGTAAAACAGGCCAGCTGTGGCATTTTGCCGGAGCTGCCGCTTCGCTTCCAGACCTCTTAAGGGCTTGCTGTATAGAGCACCATTGTACAACATTCCAAACAAAAAGTTTATAATTTAGGGAAGAAGTTGAGAAAGAAGAGTTGTTTTCCTGCTGCTGTGGTTATACAGTCGGGAGCCAGAACCTAACTGTTCCATTCAAATCTAGAGCACTACCCATAGACCTCAGTCTGCCTTCCCACTCCTGGCTTAAGCACTTTGACTACTTTGAGTTTAAACAGAAGGATAAGCTCACAGCTTTTGCTCTACAATTCTGCTCAAAAATTCTGCACCAAGTTAGGTGTACTTAAACCATAAACTTGGATCAAAATTGCTCTGCACAAATAAAAATATTTACATGACTACTAATGACAATGAAATGCTCTATCGGCCATTTGGTGACTTAAGATGAATCACTGACAGTTTTCTGTCTGTTAAATGGCAGCACTAGTGGCCTACCTCATAAGGATGCTGTAAGTGAGAATGGATAAGGTAAAACAAGTACCATTATTACCCTAAGCATCAGGAATAAACTGTATTCTAAAGTGTGACATTTAAAAATAAGAATCTGTGTTGCTTTGAGAACATGAAAGCACAGACCTCTTGTTGCTTTCACTGAATCATCTGCCAAGATTGTTAGATGGAAATTATCCAGCTACTTTAATGCACAAAGCTTCTCTGTCACGGCAGTGTCTAGGAGTGGATTCAAGCTATTTGGACTTTGGGAGGTATGCAATGGCCTCTTGAAAGCTGAATGCATAATGTCTGTAAACATACAGGGTTCAAGTCACCTAAAGTCATTTATTCTTTTAGATAACATGATAACCTATGAGGGGCGTTCAATGTATTCTCGGTATCAGCATGAAGAAAAAGGAATAATACATTGAACTAATTTTTATTTTTCAGTGTAATCCCCCAAAACTTCAATACACTTATTACATCTAGAAATTAACTTTTCAATTCCCTTTAAAAAAATACCCTTCCTCCTTGTCTAAAAAATGTGCCTTAATTGCCACCTTGAGCTCTTTATCATCGGAAAATTGCTTTCCACGAAGATCTTTTTTTAAATTCGGGAATAGGTAGTAGTCACTGGAGGCCAGGTCTGGGCTATAGGGTGGGTGGTGTATTTCTTCGAAACCGCAGTCTCGCACAGCAGCCTTCAAAACACGCACCATGTGAGCAGGCACGTTGTCGTGAAGAAGCAACACAGCTGCGGTCAGTTTTCCCTGCCTTTTTTCGTTAATTGCTTCTCTTAAATTATGCAGAGTGGTTGCGTAAGATGCTGCATTTATGGTTTCACCTTTTTTCGTGTACTCGATCACTAAAATTCCCTTTGAATCCCAAAACACTGTGGCCATGATTTTTCCGGCCAATGGAGTGACTTTGAATTTCTTCGGAGGGTCAGCATCTTTTTTATACCACTGCATGGACTCCTGTTTACTTTCAGGGCCATAGTGATGAACCCAAGTTTCATCTCCAGTAACAGTCCGGTTGAAAATACTTGATGGATCTTCACCACAGAGCTCTAAAAACTCCCTACAGCACTCGACTCACACTTGTTTCTGAGGCGCCATGAGCATTCGCGACACCCATCTTGCACAGACCTTTGAAAGGTTAAGATGGTCATGAAAAATAGTAAATATGGTACCAACGGATAGGTTTGTCATCTCTGCTAACATTTTGTTTTTATTCAGGCATCTTCCAATATAAGTTTCTCAATTTTTTTCACATTTTCTTTCGTAGTGGCAGTAACCGGCCCGCCCAAGCGAGAGTCATCTTCAGTGCTTTCTTTGCCCCTTTTAAATTCACTTGACCACTTTTGAACAGTAGATAATGAAGGTGCAGAGTCCTGGTAAACGGCCACCATCTCTTCGTGAATGATTTTTTGACTTTTTCCTTGTTTTGTAAGGAACTTAATCACCGCACGGTGCTCGATTTTCTTCAACATTGTTGCATCAGTCATTATGGTTGTCTTTCACTGAGGATTACTAGGGAACTAATGATCACACTTATTTGAAATTCTGCATGTATACCCTCAGATAGTGTCATTAGATAATGAAAATAATTAAATTACCCACATCAGTAGCAGATCAACCCGATACCAAGAATACATTGAATGCCCCTCGTACATTCAGGGATTGAA